AGTAACCTCAGAAAGAAACGAGGGAGGGGAGGAGGGGGAGGGGGGAGGGTTAAAAAACGGAATTTTGTACTTTGCGGTTCCGAGCGAGAAGATAAGCTAGGAGGTTTTGTGTCTTGTTTTTAGTCTCCGTTGTACTACCGAAAATTTTTTCTGGGCCCTCGTGCAGGAGAAGGTCGTTTTGAAAAACATGTATTAATTACCGAATGACCATTACTCAAGCAAATAACATTAGCGAAAAAAAAAACAATATCGGTAAGTTTAAGCCGAAATGATTGTTGTTGATTACTACAGCCCTGACCCGATGACAAATTGTCTCCGTCATTTCGTATCGACAATGTCAGATGGCAAGCGGATGGCGAGGCAAACTAAGAGACAAATTCGCGCGTTTGAAGTTTCGTTGAAACGTCAAGCCGACTATATATATTGAGATACGATAATCTAAAAATACACCATCAATACATGCGCGTGCCTACAACTCATATAACTCGCGAACAGAAATTATTACATATAAGATATCATGTGTTACACGCAAACATTTTTACGTGATTACATTATTAGTATCGAAGGTTCATCATATTTCTTAAATAATTAGAAATGTGATATACCACATTTCCGGAAGCAATTTTTATTAATTGAAATATGTACCAATCGTTTTAACACACACTTTTTGTATTTAAAAAAAAAATTTCTCACTCTACGTTAAAAAAAAAAGACTAAATTTTATTTTAAGTAGAACTTACTTTAAATATCTTCAAAATAATATGGTAGAGATATATTCAACATGCAATAAGAATATCTGTCGTATCAATGAATATTTATTTTTTAAAAGATTTCATAAATCTCGTATATAAATTTATATAAGACATATCACGGAAGAATATCTAAAATATAAATAATTTGCCATCAGCACGGTTTCGAAGAGATTTCAATTAAATCAGGAATATTTCGGTAAAATCTTTTCTCTTCGCAACTGCGTGTATTGCAGCGTGTATTTATTTTTCCTTAGGGCCGCATTATTTGAACTCCGAAATGTCGGAGGTTACAGAGCTCGCTTTTTATGATTCAACTCGATTACCATCTCGATCTTTTTTCTCTTTCCCTCTCCCTCGCTCCCTCTCTCTCTCTCTCTCCTTCTATTATCGTATAACGTATTGTATCGCCGTGAGACGCAAAAACTTGTGAGGAGGCAAGGATAATCGATCGATCCTTTCCATCGCATCTATCTCGAGTCCGGCACTCGTGATTTTTTTGCGCGTTGCATAATACCATACGCATCTACATATTTATATATCGAAAACGATTATTACAGCGTCGAGAATGTATAATTGTTGAGAAATGAGGCTGCTTGTGAATTTCAATAGAATTATAGCCGCCTAATCCTTTTCGGATTGTACGATGCCATATGCAAATTTCGAGAATTTCACACTTATTGTTGTGAGTCACATTATTAAAATAGATTTTGCATTGAGATTTTTGTGTAATTAAGAAATATACGGAAAGACTATTTTCCATGCTTTCCGTTTGGAAATCCACGTGGAAAATATAATTTATCCTTGATCCTTACACGCGCGGTTAAATGATATATGTAGAACAACAGGTTATAATTCAAGTTGTAGCATATTTTCTTGATCAAGTCTTTGTATTTAGTATTTCTTTTCTTCATCAATCTTTATGGAGTACATGCGATTAGCATAGGACATAACAACATTATAGTTAATCTTATTGCAGCTGCATCAGTTGCGTCAGTCATATTAGATAATACCTTCTATTCTCAGAAAAATATAAAATAAAATCAAATAATAGAAATCAGACTTAATATTGCTTGACTTATTATATGCTTGAAGCTGTCATAAATATCAGATATAATTAATCTTAGTGTCCCGATGATATTAATTGTTGTCTAATTTATAAAAACTGGTTAAAAAATTACAAAAATCATAGATTGTCTACGTAATATAATTAATTTTATAAATAATAACATTCGTCAAAACCCAATCCATTTAACGGCCAATAATTTCATTATGAAGGAATTGATTTTAACGCTAAATCTTTTAAGAAACTAATTCAATCGTCTATTTTTTTGTGTTTCAATTTGAGATCTTTAAGGAAAATATATATGAAAAAGCAATCGTAATTTAAAATCGTTTTTTGTGATTATAGATTACATCTGTGATAGATTACATGTAAAGCGTTCATATTTTCTCCGAGAAAATAATGGATAAAATGACAAATCTAAATATTTTAAAGTTTTCTGTTTTTAAATCAATTTGTGACTCAAGAATCTACGCATTGTGAAATTTTCTTGCGTAGTATACTAAAATATACTGAAATACTGTATAGTTTTCTAGTAGTTTGAAACTGGTTCGACTTGTATTCGAATAAATCTTTGATTTAAATTTGCTTTGAAATAGATTTGAAAAACTCAAAACAGATTCAATCTAAATAATTTTAATTAAAAAAAATATATATAATCAAAAATATAATCAACGCAAGACAAATTATATTTTTATACATTTACATTTTATATATTTTATTTTAAAGATACACTCATTAGTACGACATTGAAACTCTAGAAAGAAATTTTCTATAAAATAAAATTTCCCATAAAGTTGAATTTTGAGAAAACAAATAAATCTAAAGGATATACTAAAATATAAAGGAAATAAAGGACCTTAGAATAAAGAAGAATCGTAGTTATACGCCGTATCAGACTTAAATAAAACGAACGTACCAAGAGCGGGCGCTTTTCTCTTGACTTTGCGGGACCAGACCTCGAAACAATCCTCCAGCGCGAGGTTCCAATGCTTGTCGAAGGCGACTACGTATGCCTCCACGTGTCCTCTTATTCCCCGCGCGTTCCTGGTGTAGACCTTCGGCACAAAGAACGACCGATTATTCCTTTTCGATTGCAATTTCGAGTCCCCGTATTATACGCGACTCATCCCTTCCGGATAAAGCCGCGCTCGCCGAGAAAAGAGACGGCGATCGGCATTCTCTCCTCACTTTCGACGATCATCCCAGACGAATCCGAAATGTGAGGTAAAAAAAGATAAAAGAGATCTGTTAACGCTGTGAAAACATCATCTTGATTTTTATGGTGCGACACATCTTTTATAATCATTATCTTCTCAAAAATAAGTCTCATTCGATTCTCAGAAGAAGAATAAATATCCTCTGTTTATCATTATCCATTGTCATTTAGATTGGGATAGTGTGTCATATGAAATATGTTTACAAAGAAGCCAAGTTGATTTTTCATTTTTTTTTCCATCCTTTTAACTTCTCGGAGAATTCGTGTTCAATGAAATACTTGTGCGAGCTGTCATGGGATATAACTCAGTCAATTTTTTTGTTTCCGTACATCCATTCATTAAACTTTTGCATAGTTAACTAGTTGTATAGATAATATATCTGTTGCGAATATAATTCGTATTATTTTTAGTTATTTTTATCATCTCGATGATCGGTAGCTTTATATCATAATTTATTTTGAATTCTAATCTGCTACTGATAAACCTGTTCTTTTGAATTTCTTATACCGTTCATCTTTTTTCTTTTTTTCTCCAATGTAAAGATAAAAGAACAACAGGCCTACTGTTATTCCACGACATGTTTTATCGGAAAAATTTGAATAGCGAGTTTTTTTTGCTTTTTGGCTAAATTAAAGTTTCTAAAACCTAATATTACATAATGTTATGCTATGTTCATTGTATTCACAGAAAAATAGCATTTTATTGCTAAGAAAAGTGATTACTCATTCCTTTTTTTCTTTTAAGTTAACGATTATCTTTAACAAAGAATATTTTCTCGATAATGGTCTTAAAATATACTTATCATAAATTTTAGAAAAACTCACTATCGCTATATGCTCAAAAAAAGAATTTATTTTCTTCTAAAGATTATAAAATTTTATCGCGAAAGATTTGATTTTTTGAAATAAATCGACTTTTTTTACGTTAATTTAATATTCTTTATTTAAACATTACACTCGCTAAGATTCAGAATATATTTTGATAAATTTATTATGATAAATTTGCGGATATATGAACTTTTTGAAATACATGAAATAAATAATATTTACTTAAATATGATACTGGTATTTTTCTGTGTGTAGGGGGGATACACGAAATGCGATATCTAACCAACACTTCGCCGCGATAAAATGCATTGAAGACGCATCGCGCCTGGTTGAGGAAGGTTCGTGTCTGCGAGAAAACTTTGTTGTTTGTCGCATAGATACGAGATAGCGGTCTGATACGCGGAAGTGCAAGCTGACGAGGCAACAAGGCCCCCTTCAATGCCTTTCGCGCAGCGCGATGACATACGTGCCAGCCGGCTTTGTCGCGATGAGAACTAATTGCAAGCCTCGGACTCGTGTCCGTGTATGTCATCGCGAGCCATTGAGTGCCGACGACGTTCGCGAATTAGCCGGAATCGATTCTAGGAGTCCGCAAGACTCCGCCAACGAGGAGTCTCCGCCAAGGCGGAGAGGACTCACCCTTCCGCGTGTTTTCGTTTTTACACAGAGAACTAATGGAGTCATTTTGCCGACTTGCTCGGTGTCGATGAATTAATTCGAGATTACTTATTTTTCTGTTTTCACCTTTTTTAAGTTTTTTTTTTTTTTTTTTTTTTTTTTTTTTTTTTTTTTTTTTCTAAATTCTTTTTAAATTTACGTAACCGTCGTTTAAAAAGTTAAACTTACGTCGGAACCGTACTTAACCCTTCCGGTAACGTAAAGTAAGTACAATTAGTCGGGACGGACGCATGTCGACACGATGTAAAGTAAATTAGCCGGTTACGGTAAGTTTAATTCTATTTTTCGGGTAACGTTAACGTAGTAGGAGTTTGTCGCGCGTGATGTGTCTAGGAGTTTACTTTGTAGTAAGTTTTCTTAAGGAAGTTTAGTTTCGCGACTCGTAGGAAGACGGGCGAATAGTAGAGAATTACGTAGGACGGAAGTTCCGGTTAGGTAAACGGTACGGTAAGTACTAACTTAAGTACCGGGAAAACCGTTAACCGGGTACGGTAGGCGTCGACGGGCGTGTGATCGTCGACCGATAATTACAGGCTGTGATACTCGATAATTACGTCGCGCGCGCGCGCGCGCGTGTGTGTGTGTGTGTGTGTGTGTGTGTGTGTGTGTGTGTGTGATTTCTTGCTGAAATCCCTGCACGGAAAATTCTTCCACTCCGTTTTTCCTATTCTCGACTTTAACAATTTTGTTGTTTTAGTCTGAAACAAATTTTATCCCGAAACAAAAATAATGCTGAATTAGATAAAGTAATTAAAAGCATATTAAATATGTAAATTCATCTTTTCTTGATGAATAACAGGAAGATAAATCTCGGGGACGTTAGCTATTCGATTATTCAATCAACATAATCGAATGTTCCTCGCGATTTTTTTTTTTTTTTTTTAATGTACTTGCATTCGACGAGATGAGTTTGAATGACTTGATGATAAAGAGAAAAAAAACGCGCGCTTTCCTCGGCAATTTGAACGGTCGAAGGTCGAATGATCGATTCGCCAAGATAAAATCTCCTTTCCGGATGCGTTCGAAGGTCGCGGGAGATTAGGATCTACCGTCGAGAACGGTGATTTGAAAGACGAGGCGAGTCTTGAGGAACGCGCGAGGAACTTTCGTCGACGCCGACGCCGACGACGATGACGACGACGACGATGAAAGTTAACGCTTTTAATTGAAACTCGCGGAAGGAGGCTAATCGAAAACTGCAGCCTCCTCGTTGAAGATATCCGCTTCCGCTCGGCGGAAGCCCAATTAAATCAATTTGACTTTTATTTTCCATTATTCCGTCTCATTGTCCTATTATTAGCCGTCCTTAGTGCGAGGCGGCGATCATTAAGCACGCCACACCGCCGAGAAATCATCGGGCGCGATTAGATAAGTATGATGATGACTTATCAGCGTGCACACCGCGCCGCAATTTTACAACTTTCCACACGGTGACGTGCCTTCACTTCCGGATTGATTATATAATCTCGAGGACGTGAATTCTGTACTCATCGAATAATAGATCAGGGGTAGATCCCTGTGTTGTTTATCTAGAAAATGAAAAAAAACATCTCCCACTATGACATTGTAACTCAAAATATATCGCCGTATGTTTTTGTAAAATTGAAAATCAGATATTAATCTTAAAGTCGTATATTATGGGTTGTATTTCGAAATATTTGTGCAATCTTTGAAAAAACGACATGCGTGTAACTGAAAAATTTTAAAGCATCCCATGACGGAAATTACGTCTTTTGACATGCGAGATTTCGCATGGAATGATCAGCAATTTCGGAAGGATGTCGTGCGCCAAATTGTATTTTCCTGAGATTGGCTGTGTATATGTGCCTTCGAGAGGTAAATTTTAGGGCAGCAGTGCGACCCTTTTGGCCGCGATTTCGTCTAGCGTTGAATCGTTTGTCGCACGACGTCAGGGACGTAAACCAGAAGTGGCCAGAGCGCCCCATGATTCGGTCGCCATGGTTACGAGTGTTGACCCGAATGCTTTTCTTTCCTCCCTGGTCGCGTTTCTCGACAAAGGGTGGATCTCGTCGTCGCCCTTCGAACACCCGCGAAGGGTTTCGCGTATGTGTCACTCGGCTGCGAAAGTGTGTCAGCCGTGTATGTGCGCACGCACAGTTAAGGGTTAGAGGGATGGAAAAGAAACGAGGGAAGGAATTGGTGGAGAGGCGGAAACGCTCCTTTTTAGGATTGCTTCTTCGTTGGCAAGGATATAAAGGATTAGGAAGGAGACACATTTCACTGGAAAATTGTGACGAAAAATACCAATTTTAAAAGATGGTAATGTTTAAAATGATAATGTAATGATGTAAATGTTTAAAAATTTTTTTAAATTTTTCACAGAAGGTGGAAAAATTAATCAAATGAGAGAAACGTTAATATTTAAATTGTCTTTTAAGCTGTGATAAATATAATTTCTAGAGATTTTTAAAGTAACAAGAGAATTATTTCTTTAAAGAAATCGCTGTAAATTTAAAATCATTGTAATATCATAGAAATTGTATTTTGTTTAAAAAATCATCTTTGACATTTTTTTTTACAAGAAAAATCAGATTCGTTAGTCAACCATTAAAAAAGATTAATTAATGTGACCTACCCTAACCCGGATTTTATTCTCCATGCACCCGTGGAGCATTCCTAACGGGCCGAGGGTCTTTTGCATTTTTGTGAGTAAATTCTTCTGTTCAAGTAAATACTTCTGTTTTCTGCCAGGCACTGGTTCTGTAAACAGTTAGTTTCAAACTTAGTATTTTATTAATTACGTTTAAAGTATTAAAATATTTAAAGAAAATATGTATTAAAACTAATTAAGTTGTATAGAATTGAGATAAAGTATCCATTTATATTTAAATAAACAAAAATTTGAACATTGTAATATACTTTCGGAATTAAGAAATAAATTTCGGTAGATTGTGTGTGAATTGATTATACTAATATAAGCAAGATGCACAATATTTTAAAGAATTCTAATAAAATGAAAAAATTTAACTCATGGATGGATTTGATGAATAATTCGCTAAAAATAATTTACGATTAGAAAGAGAGCTTTTTTATTTTTAAAGTGACATCAAAATGTTAAGTTTTCAGATAATCTTGTGATATTGAACTTGATCATTTATTATTTGCGTTAAATGACATTTTTATAAAATAAAAATAAAATACATCACGTTTGTTGCATGTATAGTTTTAGTTGACTGCTTGATCGAGTCGAATATTATAAATATGTCTTAAAAATAATCGGAAAAAAAGTTTCTTTAGTAATCTCATAAGTTATGAAACACTATACATACGTATGTGTAGATATTATTATTATTTTTTGTAATATAATTATATTAAAAGTAACATACTCTATGTTTTTAACATCGGATATTTTTAATCTTGATGCTTTAATCTTGACCGTAATTGGATATATAATTATGATACATCATATAAGTAAAATTTTATAAAATATAAATTTATAAAATCCTTATTTTATATGAATACATGTATGTGTGTGTGTGTGTGTGTGTGTGTGTGTGTGTGTGTGTGTGTGTATGTGTATGAGCGTATCAGAGATTTTATAAAATTTATTTCATATGTAAAAAAAAAAATTAACTAATACCTACAGTAAGTATATTATCTGGATTAAAATGTCAAGATTAAAAATATCCTGGCACAGAATATAAAAAAATGCTACCTTTGTATAGTAGTTAATACTATGAATATATTATAATAATAATCATAATATTAATAATAATAAGAGAAATAACAACTGTAACAAGACACTATATTATGCTATATTATGAGTTACTATACTTGAATAGTATCGGAAGTAGTCCCGAGACGGGCGAGATTGCGCCGGTAGATTTTTATGAGCCGCCGTAACACCGCGCTAATAAGAATTTATGCGGCTCTCTCGTGTCTCGCGGACTCGCTCGACAAATCATCGTTCATCCTTACGCGCGAGGAACGGAGAGCCGATAGCATCGCGCGCACGTCGTTCGTTCCTCCAGTTTTTGCTCCTTTTTCCCCGCTGCGACCGCGAGACTTTACGCAGCCGGGAGAGCTTCATTAACCCCCGTAGTCGTTCCTGTATCTTATACACAGTGATACGGAACTTTTCTTTCCTGTTAAAATAAATCAATCGAATCTACGATGACCGCGTAACGCGGAAGAAGAAACAAAATCTCCGCTTGACATCTACGTAATTTAGCGTCGTATCGAGAGCAATCGCTGTCGATTAAATAAAATTGAGAGGTCGTTCGTTTCCATTTCATTATTGTACAAAAATTATATACATAAATCATAATTTTTTTCAGTATTAAACGCTAGGCTTGACTTTTAATTTCTTTTTGTTTCTTTTGCCAAGAATCAACATAGATCGTTCTCATTGCGAATCGTCATTCTTTAACATTAAAAACGTCTTACTCAGTAAATCCAAACAAATTTTAATAAAATCTATCGCAACTCTCGTTCCATCGACTATCGGAATAATTTTTAGTTAAAATGCCTCTATAACTGTATTTTTGGTACAGTGACAGAAAAAAAAAATGACGGAAGAAATGTCTGTGTCTGAAAGCTCATTCTTTGCAAATTCGTACCGCAAAGCTGGATTTTCTTTCTGGCCTTACGATTCGCGGAGAGGAGGACTCGGGAGGGAAGACTCGATAGTCCCGGCCCTGGACGGTCGTCGCGCGCGGAAAGAGGAACGCCGCAAAGTTACGTAAAGCCTCGGCGCTCGCTGCATGGCATGGCGCGATGCGGTGCGGTGCGGCGCGGTGTGGCGAGTGTGCACTTATTTTCTCCGTGTGCGCGCGCCCGACACACTCGTGACTCGCACACTTGAAGCGGTGCAGCAGGAGCGGTGCATCGAGCGAGAGCTACGGTGACGCTCGCACGCTCGCTCGCGAGATCGACGGTGCCAATTGGCTTTCTCCGATAACTTTCATCCGTCTAAAGGGGCCCGCCGCCCGCCCGACCGCTCGCTCCGCTTCTTTTCCACCTTTCTTTGTTCCTTTCCGCGTGCACTTTCACTATCGCGCGATCCACTATTGCGCCGAGGCAGCCCGGCATCGTCGTCGATCGAGGACGAGAGGACGAATCGACGACGACGATCCGCGCGCTCGCTCGTAATTAAATCGCGAGCAGGCGCGCTCGCGTTACCCGGCTATATATTTTTTTTCCCTTCCGTAGATAACGATCGGGGTAGGAAGTCGCCGTTTTTAAAGCGAGATATATAAGTGTGAGAACTTTACTTTTAAATGGCGAACTCTCGAAGTCTCTGAATATCGAAGGTATCGATTTGCACGCTCAATTCTGCAAAATGTTCCCTAGGGTATCTTCCGATTAATACAAATCTATAAATGAGAAACGTCTTATCTCATCTAATGGATAAATCAGGTTTGTCTCGGCGAGGAGAAATGAACGGGGGAAGCGAGAGGAGGAAGGGTACAGAGAGAGAGAGAGAGAGAGAGAGAGAGAGAGAGAGAGAGAGAGAGAGAGAGAGAGAGAGAGAGAGAGAGAGAGAGAGAGA